ATCTGTGTTCAAACTCAGACAAAGATACTAGCGAGCTTAATAGTTTTAGATATTTATTCATAACATAAACAGCGCTAGCATTTCTGTCGATTCCATTTCAGCTTAACCGGCTATCCGGAAGAATACATGCACCGTACTAACTGCTACGGCAGTTATTTTCTCCTTTGAATACTGCCCACCTGCAATAATGATTCCGTAACGTACTCCTTGCGCTATCTTTTGACCATTTGGCAACTTTTCGTTTCGTAGTTGACACGGTACAACACTTTTCTTTCGCTTACTTCACACGGCCAGTCATTTTGTTTACAAAGAAATGGTGTGCTATACGCATGCGCCAGTAGAGGGAAATCCATGAACAAAACGTTGGTCAGACAGGTAGAAATACCGATGATTTTCTTAGATTTAATCATTTTTATGAATCTATTTCAGCCAAATCCGATCGTTATTTTCCATAAGGAGTCTCACTTGATATGTTTATGGAGTATTTGAAAAAAAGACAAAAAATAAAGTTACTTCACCGTGATGCCCCTTTAAAGTACAAAATATGGCAGATCACATCAAAGTTGGGGGCATAACACAAGGCATGTTTGAAGTTATGTGTACCAAATATGGCGACACTAAGCCAAGCTAGGGGACATGGCACAATGCATGTTTAATAATGCTGACAGATATGTTACATGTACCAAATATGTCGGAACCCAACAAGCTGGGGATATAACACAATGTACTTTTAATACTGTTTAAATATAAAGGACATCAAGAACTTAAGCAAAGGGGCCTTGAGGACAATGAATTACAACAACAAAAACACGATAATGTGTTTGTAATAATGAAGGAAACGATATGTAAGCTGGCGTCATTCAAACATGGGGTTTATGTTAAAGTAATGTTTCATGGTAGTGATGACGTTATTAACGATTGCGACATTCGTTCTAGCTCGGGGATAATCACAGACAATTAATGTTGCGCAATATGGTTGCGATAAAATATGAAGGTTATCTTGAAGATTTTCTTGTAGGATGGACAAAATACTGTGGAATCCTTAATTTCATGGGGTTAAAATTTCGTGGTTTTTATATACTAGCCTGTTTAAAGGTCATTATATTTCGATGGTTTTTGATTTTCCCCCGTTTATATCTTACCAAATTCATGTTTTCGTGTGGATTTAATTTCATGGATTTTTGTTATCCACGAAATAAACGAAATTTAATGTCCCACGAACATTTATGATTTTACAGTAGTCAAGTATGGTGGCGTCAGATAGAAATGGGCGTTCAGATATTATATATAGAAAACCGTATGTTTTTCTTGGTCATACAT